TACAGACATCCTGTATCCAGTACAGAATTCCAAGTCTCTGGTACAGCTACTTGACATCCTGCTGGACGCCATCCACTCCGCCTTGTCTCGACCTTCTGTAAGTTTATACCCCTCATCCTCTGCTCAAAGCAGACATCCTTCCCACACCAGTGACAACATGAGTATGATCCCCCTTTCCAGGTTATGTTTGTATGTGCAACGGCCAATCCATTCCCAGTTATACCTAAAGTTCAATGATAGAATTGTGTATCAACAGTACATAAAAGGACATATGTAGAATCTAGCAGAATGTCGGATGCCTTAACCACTCGGCTACCACTAGGTCTCGACCACTGGGTTGCGGGTTCGAGGCCTACGTGGGGCAGTCGCCCGGTACTGACCGTAGGTCGGTGGTTTCTCTCCAGATACTCTGACTTTCCTCCACCATCAAAACCTGACACGTCCTTTAATGACCATAGCTGTTGATAGGACATGAAACACAAACAAACCAAACCAATAGTAGAATCTTGAATAATTAATAGACTCCAGAAGAGATAGAAAAATCTCAACCTGATGTGTGATATTTTTTTGAAACAAGCCAAGGGTAACACAATAAAAAATATCCCTTGGGTTGAGATTTCACTGTCATAACCCCACCATAGATTCTCCTTTAATAAATTGAAAAAAATGGTAATAAGCATTTATGATATTTCGTTTTATTCCTGAATTACACAAATAGGATCTGTTGTTTTCATTATAATCCCATTTTCTTTTTTTGTGGGGGTAGGGGTAAATTTATCGATAATTATACTAGTAATTAGCTGGCTTGCTCAACATTATTAATATGACCATGAGTTGAATTCTAAAATCTTAATAGAATTGAATAGGCTGATTAATCTGTCCACTGAAATGCTTAGTTAGTGAAAATGGGTAAGATTTACTTCTTGACATCAAAGGGGAACAACTCTTATTTCTTGTCAAAATGGGTCTAGTTAAGCTAAATATATCCAAGACTGGGAAAATAGTGTTCTTTGTCGAAGGGAAACAACTTTGATGTTAAATTTTGTCTTGTAGATGGTCATAGGTAGTTCATTTGAATGTCTATCTTCCCGACATCTGTTCACGCAGCTAAAACAGTAAGTAATCAGACTTCAGCTTGGAAACAAAACATGTGCAAATAAGATAATTGTTATATAGTATATTCCACTTATTGTCACATCATGCTTAATATCATTCTTTTGTCTATTATCAGGTTTTCTAGAAATTCTGATTTTCTCTCATAATAACTTTATAACCTGTGATGCTACATGTATCAGAATCCACTTCTTATACTCTCTAGGTTCTCTAGATAGGAACATATTGAGGGAAAGGAGAATGGCAGGTTTGATTAATTTAACTTAGTTGAAGCCTGTTTATTGATAATATTTTGGTTGTGGTTGTGGGATCAAATATTGAATTTTGGAATGTGAATTGAGACACAAAAAATTGTCTTCCTGCCGTCTACACATGTAATACTGGAGATTTTCTCTGCAGTTTAATTCCCCCTTTTTGCCCTCTGTAATGAGGACAAGCTTATCATTACAGCGAATATAAGTTAACGGTATAATATACATAGTAATTAAATGTGAAGGGAAAAATTAACACGGGGCGAATATGGATTTTAACAGCAGCGGGCGAAATTTTGTCTTGGCAAATTACCCGGTATACAGTAATTGAATGTGGAAATCCAGTACGTCATACTTCATTTAGCTACATAAGATAATATATATCATGGCCCTGAAATAACACAAGAGCTCTGACCAATCTGTCTATCTAGCTCATTGAATTGACAATAAATATTTCTTGGAATTAATATTTCTTATATTGTAACAAAAAATGTATTAACCTTGAAAATATGAACGTAATATAATAACTAATCTAAATTTCTTTTTCTTTCTAGAGATGGGGACAATGATTTGAAACCTAAAATTTGCCAGTAAGTCATAATCATAAAGTTTCTTATAAATTGTAATGTTTACCAGTAAGTCATAAAGTTTGCCAGTAAGTTGTAAAATTTACCAGTAAGTTGTACAGCAGTAAGTCATAAAATTTGCTAGTAAGTCATAAAATTTTGCTAGTAAGTCATAAAGTTTGCCAGTAAGTTATAAAGTGTACCAGTAAGTTGTAAAGTTTGCCAGTAAGTTGTAAAGTTTACCAGAAAGTTGTACAGCTTTCCAGTAAGTCGTAAAATTTGCCAGTAAGTTGTAAAGCTTGCAAGTAAGTCGTAAAGTTTGCCAGTTAGTCGTTAAGTTTGCCAGTAAGTCGTAAAGTTTGCCAAAGTTTGTCAGTAAGTTGTAAAGTTTACCAATAGGTTGTCAAGTTAACCAGTAAGTTGTAAAGTTTACCAGTAAGTTGTAAATTTTGCCAATAAATTGTAAAGTTTGCCAGTAAGTTGTAAAGTTTGCTAGTAAGTTGTGAAGTTTGCCAGTAAGTAATAATGTTTGCCAGTAAGTAATAATGTTTGCCAGTAAGTTGTATTGTTTGCCAGTAAGTTGTAAAGTTTGCCAGTAAGTTGTATTGTTTGCCAGTAAGTTGTCAAGTTTGTGAGTATAGTGATCTCAGATTTTCAAAAGTCCATATATGGTTTACTGCCCACAACAGATGTTTCAACTTTCAAAAATGTTTCTTTTCAGATTCACAAGTAATGAGTCACAATATCTCTACACCGTGTACACCATGGACCGACTGCCCTCCGAGACCCTTATTATCCTACGGCAGTCAACTAAGGGTGGCAGGTAGGCATGGCTCAGAGTCAACAATATAATGGTGCACCAAACACACTCTGACACAACAGGAATACCAAATACATGTATTACATTGGAATACCAACTCATGCTTTATGGAATGGATTTAGGGCATTATGGGGTTTTTTTCGGCATCATAAAAAGTAAAAAAATCAACATTAATTTATTTACCAATTTCTTCCATAACCATCATATTGGTTAATTGTTGCTATTTTTCCTGGTGCAGATATATAATTGCTAATGCAGAGATGCTCCACTATAGCAACAAGATTGTGTTGCTATGCAGAAATAGCCATATTATGGTGTTTTTGGACAGTTAGTACGCAGAAATGAAAGCTTCGCATGTGACAACCAAAAATTCCTTTCTACGAATGACCACTGGTTTAACAATGTTTAAGCTGGTATAACAATGTTTAAGCTGGTATAACAATGTTTAAGCTGGTATAAAATTGTTTAAGCTGGTATAACAAAGTTTAGGCTGGTATAACAATGTTTAAGCTGGTATAACAATGTTTTAGCTGGTATAACAATGTTTAAGCTGGTATAACAATATTTAAGCTGGTATAACAATGTTTATGCTGGTTTAACAGTGTTTAAGCTGGTATAACAATGTTTAAGCTGGTATAACAATGTTTATGCTGGTTTAACAATGTTTAAGCTGGTATAACAATGTTTATGCTGGTATAACAATGTTTATGCTGGTTTAACAATGTTCAAGCTGGTATAACAATGTTTTAGCTGGTATAACAATGTTTAAGTTGGTATAACAATGTTTTAGCTGGTATAACAATGTTTAAGCTGGCATAACAATGTTTTAGCTGGGATAACAATGTTTTAGCTGGTGTAACAATGTTTAAGTTGGTATAACAATGTTTAATCTGGTATAACAATGTTTATTACCCCTTTGAGAAAAATCTAGGAATCTGATTGGTTAAAAACTACAGTGTACCAAACCGCATTCGTAAATCTCAAGGGGTATACGAAAATCTCAGGGGGTACGGTCATGTCACGTGATTCTCAGCAGTAATACGGTGGAATCACATGCTTTTACAAGGGGTATACAGGTCACGTGTCTTTGTATCTTGCGGCCGGGCAATGGGGGACAACTCGCATTCGTCGTCTGCTTCCGGCGATGTTTACAAAATGACAAAACAATTCGCTTTGCATACATTTATCAACGTAAATATCACACAGCAGACAATATTCATACATTTTATTGTGGAATATGCAGGTTTATACCTCTCTTTGTTACGTAATATCTCCTAAACCAGTTGTCGAATGAATTCAAAATTTCATTCATCCCAGATAACGAATATAACAAATAATTCTATATCCCTGATGAGGCTGGAAATGACCCTTACTGCCTCTAGTCCTTTCCTTTACTCTAGTATATAAGTGTGTATTCAAACTCCATTGAAATAATACTTAGCAACAAGTATTCAAGATTGGACATCTTTACTTACCAACTCACATGTAAGTCCGGATAGCAGATTGTTTTCTGGAACACCGGATTTGAGGATAAAGGTAACTGTATGCAATCTTCTTTCCTCAAGTTCTATCTTGCCTCTTCGATGAAACCTGTCAAACTGGACCCTGACGTTTACAGGGTCATTAGATTTGTCGTATTGTCTTTGGCTGTAGTTGACAGGTTTGGGGACATGCTACAGCGGTCTATGATTGTCTGCCTTGTATTATGTTTTAGTGTCCATTGTGAGGCAGTATCAATCAAGTTCGGGGAGATACCAAAGCGGTCAGTTGATACAAGTGGACAAGAGGATCAGGAAAGGTAGGACAGCTTTACTTAAGGTTCTTCACCCCTGATAAAGCTAGAGGGCCAGAGTCCTTAGAAAATGTAAATTTAGGGTACTGAGCTTATTCTGTTCAACTCTTTTCACGGTTGGGCTTGTAAAGAGCCCAGAACGAGAGATAGGGGTGCTCTATATAAGATTTTATGAGCAGGTTAGAGCCCAAATGAGGCATTACATACAACATTTATGATAAGGACATGTTAAGTAAAATGTGACAGACAATAACATATACAAAACACATAGTTTTGAGTATTAAGATCCCTGTCCCATTGCCTTTTGGTTTGTGTATATATACAGTAACTTCCCCTTAGCTTTGTTATGGACATAACTGTACCATAGTCGGGCCAGCACACTTTGGCTTGCTAGTAAAACAATCTGATGTTCGGGGTTCGAATCCTCAGGTCTTGCTCCATTGAATTTTGACACTCAGAATGCCGTTGTTGATTATAATTTGTTTATTTCAGTTTTATCATTTTTTCATAAAAGTCCCGCAAAGTACTGTTTCCTTTTCAGAAATGATTTATTAAACTATAGGCGTGCTGAATAAAACAGTTTCTGATGCATAGTTACAGCTTTTGGCAGTGGTAAGGGAATCTTTCATTAGTATAACAAGGGAGATAACTTTGATGTTACCGTTACCTATTATTTCCCTTGCATTATTTGGGAGATGATATGATCATAATTTCATCTTGTTAAGTGTACAGGCACATTTGTAAAAAAATAAAAACTCTGACTGTCCATCCAATCTCAAACAAATTGATGAATTGGTTGCTCCGAGGAAGGCCCCAGTCACTTTTTATTTGTGTGAGTATTAAATCAGTTTAAGTGCTGCTGTTACTATAGTTAGGTAAGCATATTTTTTTTTTCCAGGTTAAGAATCCAAATTTTTTACTCATTTTATCAGTCTAGCAGTAGTCACTTTTTACCTGTGTGCTAACATGTACTCTAAATCAGGAAATTTAAGCTGCAGTTCAACTTTTGCCTTTTCCTCCGTATGGCGTATTTGTCATGAGAGAAAATCTTTATACACACCTCACTATACATTGCCAGTACATGTGAAGGGCCAAATTAATATAGATTTTACCTGTAAAGAGGGAAAGTTGCCTGGGCAACAGTTTCCTGGAATACAGTGTTTTTTATTAACATAAAGTTATTTTTAACTTGTATGTTCACATACAGTTAATATATAGTTATTTTTTTAGTTTGTACATGTTATAGTAAATCAGCAGTAACATGTCTTTAATTAATAACTGGTAAATAACACTACAAAATTAATAGCTGAGAATGAAAAGATGTTCAGGTATCATTCAAGTTAAAACTGTACATTAGGTTACCTCCCTTCGTCCATTTCTCCATGAATAAGAAGATAGTTAGTCAACTTTGTTGGCGACTACTGATTGAGTTACCTCCCTTTGTCCATTTCTCACTATGACGTTGAACTGTCAAACTGTCACATGGGACAGTACAGTACCAGGGTTTATAACACTGCTTTCTTGTATTAGTTTCCATTTTTTTAACGATTCATGTATTCATAAAACCAGACAAGAAGTTGCTAAAGTGAACAATTTTGATATTTTTTTGACCCAAAACTTATGCAGATATATTGCATGGTAAAAACAATCTGGATATTTAAAGAACAACATTATAAAAACCATTTCTCCATTGGGCTGTTTTTAGATTTGAAATTGAATAGTCATTTGGGCTATTGAAAGCTGCAATCAATAAGCCATGTGGACTGTAGAAAACTGACACCTATCAGCTCTTTGGGCTTTTGAAAACCGCAAACCATCAGCTCCTTGGGTTGTTCAAATCTGAAATCCATTGCCTTTTGGGCTGTTGAAAGCTGAAAACCATTATTTCTTGGGGCTGTTGAAAACTAAAACCTATTGACTTTTTGGCTGTGGAAAACTGAAATTTATTAGCACTTTGCACTGTTGTAACATGACAACATTTTTGTATATTTTGTTACAAGAATGCATTAAAATTTCCTGATGACATTTTGAGGTCAATCAAAACACAATGAGGTAACCTCAATTTTTGTTTTCTTCAAATTTCATTTAACCACTTTTAATTTCTCAATACAAGCATCATATTCCTTTATAAAATCGGATGTCAGCATAAATGGATTTTTTATAAAAATATATTATCAATTGCAAAGGAAATGCTGGTTTAGCTTTTGAGTGACTTTTTAATTATGTATTAAATGTCAGTTGGACTGGGGACATGTCTTACCCTTGACGGATGACAGGAATTGTCAGATATAATTGGCTCAGTTGATAAATATAATCAAGGATGTGCAATTTCACAATGCCGACACTCTAGGCAAGATGATATTATTATGGCAGGGCAAGTGACAATTTCCTATATTTGTTTCTAAAATATGGGTCAGGCTGGTGAAGAATTCTTGAAAATTTGTCGGTTGACTATTAATCTAAATATGAAGTTATCCACCCTTGATAAGATTGGGTGGTCAGTTTCACCAGGGTTCAGACAGTGAGGTTCTACTATGTGTAAATTTGATTGATTTCAAATATAAGTAATGTTAAGCCTGAAGTGACTTGAAGTAATGTTTGTGTGTTAAGAAGCTTAAGTATGTTCAAATGATAAATACAGAAATGACTAGACAGAGTTGGGCTGCTTTTCAAGTACAGTTAAGGTAGTGCAGAAATATTCCATGATATGGGAACATACTTGGACCAGAACTGTGCTGAACTTAGAGGCAGAGCTAAAAATACAGTTTTTGGGTTTTGTAACAATTAAATAACAATGTATCAAGAATATAATCCTCCTTTCACGTGAACACTAAATTTTATAACATTTCCTGAAAGATACATGTAAATTGACCTATTTCACGCAGAAATAATGCAAACTAATAAGAGTCAGTATTTTAATTTCAGTCCAGCACCTCTGGACCCCTAAGTATGTAATATGTTGTTGCTGTCAGCTTTGGTTTTGTTTGTGAGTCTGTTAACCTGATTTGTTTTTCATTTGCCCATCCTCATTAATCATTTTAAATGAACTCATAATGAGAGTTAGCATTTTAGTTTCAGTCAGGCACATCTGGACCCCTCGATATGCACGTGCCGAAGTTTGCAGGGTTCAGCCTCAGATTAAATAGGAGCCTACTGTTTACCTTTCAGGTTGAGCTGGTTGAAACGGTTTAACCTGATACATAAAAGGGACCTTGTTTTGTAGTAAATATATAAATATGGTATTTCATGTAATGGTAAAAATATTGTATTACTCATTCACCCCTGAAATTTCATAATGAACTATTCCAACCTTTGAATTGGAGGAGTTCAAATGTATCTTCAGGGATGAATGAGTTAAAGCAAAAGCTTAGGAACTCAATTGTTCTCTGTGGACAATATAAGAAAAAGGCGGATTACAAGATTGTTTTATTCTGTTGATTTGCAGATGTTCTGTTTATCATCAATATCGTTAATCAGATTAGGCTTGACAAAATATACACAAATGTTTAGCAACTCACCTTGCCTAACCACCCACACCTAGGGAAAGAATTGGTTGTTTTTTCCACAGGGAGTCTTTTAGGCAGGGAGAGCTTACTACATGTACAATTTTGGTACCTAAAGCAGTTTGAGCACATTTCTACCATAAGACCATATGCTGAGTTGCTGCTGTCAGCTTTGGTTTGTTTGTGAGTCTGTTAACCTAATTTGGTTTTCATCTGCCCATCATCATTGATCATTTGAAATGAACTCATAAAAAAACTGATAGGAAATTGTTATTTGGTTTTACAGGAGAAAAAAGGGATTCCTCGATGATGGAGTAATAAAAAACCCAACTCAATACAGCTCCCGCAAACATGAAATAGCAAACTTCACTTCAAACAAAGTGAAAAAACAGTACTGGTGTTAAATTGATCCCAACATTATTGATTTAGAGGTTCTGTCAGCTTTAAATTAACGCAAAATTTTCAAACTATATTTTGATGGTGTGTGAAATTATCAAATGATGATGATTTTAACTTCAGAATATAACGTTTGTTCAATTTTAATAGTTTAGAAAACATAACAAAACAAATGTTTTAACTGATCCTCGGATCTCGCAAGATAATTTACCTTGAAAAAAGATGGAAGCTTATCAAAATGATCCTAGAACTTAGCAATATCGTTTATCTTAAAAAATACATTAGAAGCTTATAAACTGATCCTTGAATCAAACAATGTTGTTTACCTATTTTTTTTTATTGGAAGCTAAATAAACTGAGTCTAGAATCTAGTGATTGTCATAACCCATTTACTTAAAGAAAAAATATTGGTGGTGGTGGTGGGGGGGGGTTAAGACCTAATTTGAAACTAATATTTATACTCATGAGTTGGGGGTGTGGGGGAGGTATGAAGGGGGAGGCGTATGTAGTATGTGAAGCGATAGCAGGTAGAATGAGGAGAGTTCCGAGTTATGACATAATGTACCAGGGATAATGAAGCTAGTCGCAGATGAAACGGATGTAATTTGGAAGATGAAAGCAGTTTTTGTGCAAATAAGGGATTTGAGGTGTCATAATAGGGATTGTGGTACATTTACGACTCTGTCCTTTAATGTCTAGCCCACCTATAAATACCAAAGTGCATTTGATCGCGGAGGCTTTAATCAAAGAACATTGAAGGAGCAGACGGCAAAGCTCCGTCTCATCTCGAGCAGAACTCTCACCAATTACAAGTCTCATCTTACGCAGTCCTGCCGTCATGGCCGTACTATGGATTAATACTGGGTTTTTTTGTGCTTGTGAAGAACCAGTTTGGTCAGATCAAGGAACAATGTACACATTCTAGTGATTTATTTAATGACATTAGGGGATTTCACAACTTTTTTCCAAACATTTTGAAGAAAATTGGGAATACTACTATTGGGTATGTCCATCCCTCTGTCCCTCTGTCTGTCTCTCACCATGTGGTATGCTTGAAACAACTGCCATTGATATATGGTGCAATATCCTTTGGTTTGTGTACTTGCA